AATAATGGTGAGAATCATTAGCCACTGGAACAATGTACTGAGGGCCGTGGTGGATTCTCCATCGCTGGCTATTTTAAAGTCAAGATGAGATGTTTCTCTTACAGGTCGGCTCTGGGAATTATTGGGGGGCGGTTCTCTGGAGTCTCTGTTAGCCTTGAGATCTAGGAACAAGAGACTCTTTCGCCTGGCACGGTAACAGGTGTGGCACACTGTAATGGCCTCATATTATTATTGTTCATAAGGGGTGGGACCAGATTGAGTTGGGGGCTGTGCAGATAGGGGGTCAGACTGCATGATGTGGTGGCCTCTCCTGGCCTTAACTCTGACTCTCTGACTTTATAATGGAGATCATGACCCGGCTGAGCCAGCACTGCACTGACCCCAACCAAAATCAGAATCCCTGTTGTGCCAGGCGCTGTACAAAATTAATGCTCAGACTCCATTCTGCTACCGCACGTGTCGTCCAAAGATCTCCGCCTAGAAGGGTTTATGTCCTAACTCAGTTAGGAATCTGCTCATCCAAAAGGAGCCGCTGTTAATGGAAAGAGGAGCGTCCACATGGGACCTTGCTCTCGTTTAAATCGGTTTTGAAACAGACTTGAATTAAGTCATTGGCACTTCCCCACATAGGCCCGGCCTGGCAAAGAGTCAATGAATTTTGTGAATCAGATTTGGTGATACAAAGATTGGATTGGAAAAGGGGAGTTTCTAGAGTCCAGTTGGCTGAAGGTGGCCGGGGAGAGGGTAGATTAGATGGGGTGTATTCCCCTGGATTAGGAGAGAGGGAGGTAAGATAAGGAGAGGCAGAGCGTATCCTGTGTTTACTGTCTCCAGTATGTTACATCTTCCCGCTCCAGGGTGGGTTTTTGTAGCCCAGTTCCTAACAGGTTATCCAGCTGGTGTGTTCACTGCTCACAGCCAGCTATGTCTGGGTGAGAACAGGCGGTACTGAGCAATTTCTCTGGGACTGATGAGAGTGAGCAGGTAGTGAAACCCCCCCTCCCCTCCCCCACACCCTGCACACACTCTCCCTCCGCAGCTCTGTTATTTTTTCAAACAGCCAGGATGGGTTCTGTGGATCGGAGGACGCCCCCGGCTGCCCGGCATCCTGCCCCACTGGTTTGTGCACATTCATATTTTCCAGGCATTCCTCCACCTGTCCCCACCCTGGCTCCTGCACCCGTCCCACCACTGTCACCCCAAGACCTGCTGGCTCATCGAAGGAGACTCCACCCTGGGCCAGACCGGCAGGGCCCTCTAAAGCAGTGGCAAGTACACAGAAATACACAACAATGTGCACTGATGCACGCACACACACGTGCATGTGCGCGCGCACACACACACACACACACAAATACAGGCTGAGTCCAACAGGCACTGATACGCTCACCCACACAGAAACATGTACACATGCCCACACCTAGCTCACCCGCGCCTGTAGACACAGCAGGGGGCACTCCATGGGTCCCAAGAATCACTCCGGCTGGCAGAAGGCCTCCCGAGGGCAAATAAACCCCCTGTTCCTGCCCAGCAGCCCTGGGGATGCACCTGGGCAGTTTTCCCCCAATTCAATGGTCCCATCTTGGGGTACTTGCTTGCACTGGCTGGTGGGAGTGGTGGGTACCCCTCCCAGCCCTGCCCTCTGGCCTCCAGGTGGCTGAGGAGCTGCTCCCAGGACAGAGATGTGGGGTGCTCATGGCAGCACAGGAACATCTGCAGCTTCAGTGTCCCTAGGTGGCTGGGGAGGCAGCAGGGCATTGGGAGCCCCCCGCTCCTTCCCCTGAGCCGGCACAGCCACTGCCAGACCTGGGTAGGCTCAGAGACGGGCACAAGGAGGCAATCCTGGCAAACGGCAGCGGGCCACAGACTCTGCCACCCCCCTCCCAGGAGCATGTCCACCCTCCACGAGCAGTAGGGCTTTTATCCTCGCTGGGAGCTGCAGCCAGCTGGACACCAGCAGGTGCTGCAGAGCCAGTTGCACATTCACACACTGTGTGGCACTGCCCTCACCCACAGCATGTTGTAAATGCTCCAGTGGGTCCCCAGCGCTTGTGCCACCTCCCGCATGTGCCTCCAGCTCAGTTTCTCTTCTGGTGCTCCCGTGGCCCTCAGGAAGGGGAGTCCCGGCAGCCTGAGGGTGCACGGCTGGGGGCCTCCTGGTGACTGGTGCCATCATGCCCAGACACTAAGCGCCCCTGCCCGGAGCACTCCCAGGAGCACGGGTGGGTCATTGTCCCCATGTCAGTGAGGGGAGCTGCAGCCTGGGGCTCCAGCGGCTCTGACCACTAGGCTGTGCCACCCAGGGCCTGGGCTCTGTACTGAAAGCCTGAGTTCTCCAAGAGCTGGTGGGGTGCAGAGGAAGCAACACAGCCCCCCGGCCCAGCAACACTGCCCCAGCCAGCTCCCCACCAAGGAACCGAGCTAGGGCTCAGACCTCTAGCCCAGCACAGCAGCCCCTGGGCCTTGGCTCAGCCCCCCCAATAGAGCAGCCCAGCAGCCCCCATTCCTCTCCCCGACCCCTACCCCTTTGAACCTCCCATTACTCAGCCCCGAGCGGAGCGAGCCGCCTGTGGCTGCCTGCACCATCTCCGACTGCGCCGGCCTGTCGCTCGGATGCTGCTGACTCGTCCCCACGGTGCTATGCCACCCGCCTCCGCTGAGCATGGCCTCCCGTCCCCCTGGGCCGCGGCTGCTGGAACCTGGCAGCGCAGTGACGCTGTCTGCCCCATGCTCTCCCCAGCAGGGCGCTGGGGGCAAGGTCAGAGTTCAGGGAGCCGGCCTGGACTAATGGGCCAGCTTAACCCATTGCTGCTTGGAGGGTGTGGGCAGTGGGGCAGAGCCATGTTGGGATCATTTCACCCTCATAGCCGCCGGCTGGGATCAGTTTTTAAGCCCCTTTGCTGGGGTTGCTGTAGAAAATGCCCCCCCCCCCCCAGCTCTGCATGGGCACCATGACACAGGGGAAGGAGAGCCTGCTGGGGGCAGATCTGCACAGCAGGTCATTGCACTAATATAGCGGCACCAACGCACCGGCCTAGGGTCCAAGGCTGGGCCAGGGCCTGAGGCGTTGGGCCGACACCCCTCAGCCATGGCTTCAAGCCCCTGTAGACACTGCCTGTGGGAGTTAGGCACACAGAGACTTTTGAAACACCTTTAAAAGCCTGGCTCTAAATCTCGCTGATGCCCCAACTCCCCCCGGCACAAGGGGGTGACAGCCTGGCCCTGCCCCATCGGGCTGCCCAGATACCAGGAGGATGGGTACAGCAGGGCTAGTGGCATGGAGTGACTCCCAGTGGTGGGGCTGCGGGGATGGTGAGAGTCAGGCTGTACCCAAGCGGCTTGTCCACCCCAGGGCGCAGTGACGCTGGGATCCTGAGGGCAGGATCGGGCCCTTTGGGAGTTGCCAGGCAAAGTCCAGGGGTGCAATGTCTGGGCAATGGGCGGGGGAGGGGGCCAGCCCCACTCATGCCCAGCCCATCAGCTACAAGCCAAAGGCAACAAGGCCTGGAGCCGGCTGACCCCGTGGGTGGCCCTGGCGCTGTGTCCGCGAGAGGGCGTGTGTGATCTGGCTCCGTGTGGGCGCTGCTCCTCCTCTGCTCGTGCTGCCAGGGCCCTGCCAGGGTGTCGCTGCCTGAGTCACCCTGACTGACAAAACAGCAGGGTCAGCAAAACCTGCCTCAACCCGTCCGGCAGAACAAGCTGCTGAGCCTGAAGGGAGAGGGAGGGCACAGCCTGGGCCAGGACCCTGGCGGGGGCGTGTGTGATCTGGCTCCGTGTGGGCGCTGCTCCTCCTCTGCTCGTGCTGCCAGGGCCCTGCCAGGGTGTCGCTGCCTGAGTCACCCTGACTGACAAAACAGCAGGGTCAGCAAAACCTGCCTCAACCCGTCCGGCAGAACAAGCTGCTGAGCCTGAAGGGAGAGGGAGGGCACAGCCTGGGCCAGGACCCTGGCGGGGATGGCGAGAAGGAATAGCCCCCCCGGGGGGGGGGGACA